GGGTGGGGGCATTTTAGTTGAGAATCCCAAGATGAGTGAGAAGAAACCAGCCCTGCAAAGAGGAGGGCCGAGAAAGTTCCAAGCGGCACTTCGGAAAGTTCCCATTTAGGGCACCTTCCTCTGGACCAAACCCTTTACATACATTATCCCACTGATTTTTAAAAAATATATATCTTTATTGATTTCAGAGAGAGGAAGGGAGAGGGAGAGAGAGAAACAGCGATGTGAGAGCGCAGCCCTGAGGGATGCAGTGGAGCCTGCAAGCCTGGTACCTGCTCTGCCGAAGAATCGAACCAGCAGCCTTTTGGTGCACAGGCCGATGCCCAACCGGCTGAGCCACACCAGCCAGGGCAACTTTTTTTTATTTTTTAAAATGAACTAAAGTAAAATAAAAAAATATTGGCATCACGGGGAGTCAGCATAAGTATTGTTTCATGATCTTTTCTTTTGATTGTGTGTGTGCACTCCTGCTGGGTTCCAATTGTAATATAAAGCATACACCTGACTGAGGGTTCCATTAACAAAAACAGTTTGAAAGTTTGAAAGCTACCAAGCTAGGTATTAGTAGGCTTACTGTACAACTGAGAAAAGTAAAAATGAGTTTGCTCAGATCTCGCAATTATTGTCATAGCCTGGATTTAAGCCCCAAATAAAGTACTCCCTGACTTCTTTTATTTATTTATACATTTACTCATTTATTTGTTTTTTAAATCCTCACCCAAGGATATTTTTTCCATTGCTTTTCAGAGAGAGTGAAAGAGAGAGAGAAGCATCTATGTGCCTCTCACATTGATTGGTTCCCTCCCACCTGCGCTCTGATCTGGGTCAGGGATGGAGCCCCCGATGGAGGTACCGGCCTGTGGCCAGAATCAAACCCGGGACGCTTTAGTCCACGGGCCAACGCTCTAACCACTGAGCCACGCCGGCTAGGGCTCCCCCTGACTTCTTGCTCAATGTTCCATCCCTCCACCTCCAAGTCTCATTTTTCACATTTCCCCTGGCACCCAGCAGTGACAGGCTCTCCTGGGCGGGGTCCTGGGGAGGGGAGGAGTGAGACCTTGCAAAGCACTGCCACACTGGGAGTTTTGCTAACTTGCCTTCAAAAGAGACCGTCCTGGTAAGTGCTGGGCTTTTGTTTGCCTGAGGGAGGTGCAAGTTTCCAGCAAGAACCTTGGACAGCAGAGGGGAGAATAAGGACCGCCTCCTGGCCCCCCCCCTTTTCCTTTTAGGGTGAGCAAATCTGTCCAACCGGCCTCTGAGAGGGTGCCCATTACTCACCTGTCACTGGCATCTATGTGGCTGGATCACGGGGGCTGGAGGAGCAGTAAGGCACAAAGAGAGGAAAATAGGGCCATATGGTCAGAAGACACTTGGACCCTGAAGGAATGGGGAGACCAAAGGATGTAGATTTGTAGCAACTTCCTACCAGCGAGATTTGGCAAGGAGAAGGTAGTTAAGAAGCATTGAAGAAATACAGGTTCCAGGCACTGGATGTGGGCTGGGAATGCAAAAATCTTCCACCCCTGCCTTCTGTAAGGGTAGAGTTTGGTGTGAAAACAAAAGCCAACATCGA